AACCCACTTCTAGACTTTAATGTTTTTTACAATGGTTACGAAGCATACATAGTAGAAGTCTCGGACAATTCCTTGATAGCATAGAAGAAATTCCGGCAATGGGCTATATCAACGGTCCGGTGGTGGAAATTATCATAAATAATATGGCAGAACTAGGTACGTTCCACAAGGTCACGATATCAATCGGACCAAGTTGCTAAAATCAGGTCAATCCAACATCATACAGGAAACTTTAGATCATCAATTAATTATGTCTGCATTGCTCTATCTAAGGATATCCTATTTTACTTTAGATCCAAAATAATTTGTTGTGTATTAAAATTTTGCCTTATTATATGGACAATATAGTTATTTAGCTATCATTAAATGTAAAATTGAAAAATGATTGAGTTGTAATGGCTTATCTTGTGGATGAGAATTCGGTAATAGCTCTATCCGTGTTTACTGTTTATATGTAGCTTTCTATGATGGGAATTGTCTCAAATTTTCTATCTATATTGTCCTTAAATATGGAATTTTTTGCTCTATAGTTTCATGACTAAATCCATATTCGCTCAATTTTTGCTTATGTCATGCCAACTCAGGTTCAGGCCCGTAACAACAAGACCAAACTGAAATCTGGTGCTAGCGTAATTGGCACTCAAGCTAGTACTAGCTCTGAAGTCGGGCCTTGCGCTTCATCTTCATCAGTATCAACTCCGTCTTCTACTTCTACATCGACTCCATGTGTCCAAGAGATTTCCACAAGTATTTCCAACCAACCTGTCGGCTCTGGAGGATGCCTTTTTGTCTGCTCACCTCTATCTGTAATCTCCGGCCCTGGCGACCTGACCTCACAGCCTTCTTCTTTACACCAATACCAGCTTCCGCATCAGCCAAGCCAGCAACTGCTTTCGTACCATCATCAACAACAACAACAACAACAACAACAAAGACAACAACTGCTTAATAAAACACACCAAATCAGTCAAGGTTCGGTCACTTCACTGTCCTCAGTAATTATTGCCTCTAATCCCAGCAGCATTCAGCCCGTTCAAGCAACTCAACATCTGCCAAGATATCGTCCACAACCTTCTCCTATTCCATCTGATAAACCACATTCTCAATCTCCACAAATTCAACAACAACAGCAAACTCTTCACATTCAAATGCCAGGCCAGCGAATTGGGCTCACACAACTTTCATCAACGACAGCATCTACTGCGGCATCTAATACAGTATCCACTGCGGCACCCACCCTCGGAGGAATGCTTTCGGGTTCCTCTGTCCTGTCATCGACTTCGGTGCTCACCTCTAGCTCTACTGGACTTGTTTATTCCCAACGACTTCCTTGTACTACTCAACTTCAACAACCACTTCATCAACAGCAATTGCCATTGCAACAGCAACAATTTATACTTCAACAGCAGCAGCATCAACAGCAACATTCTTCACAACAGTCACAATCTGTACAAATTGCAAATGCTGTTGGCCCATTTACCCAAATTGGTTCGACAAACAATTGCATGGTCCGACAAATGACTGGGCCGCATTATTCACCAACATGTTCGCAAGCTTCGATTGGTGTAACCCAGCAGGTAATTCAGCCACTACATTTTTTTGAATTGCTATGACTGCGATTGATTGGGATAGAAAAAATCATTAAATGAATTCATTAACAGTCATCTCTGAAATTATAAGTTTCAAAATCCAAAGGTTTATCAAGACTAAGATGATATGACGTTTTGTATGGTCGCAGTTTACTTTCGTTGTATAGAAGTTGATTGATCTCAGAAGTGGGTTGACCTTGTCCCAACTTGGTCTTGTATTCAGGAAGACTATGTAGAGCGCACCTAGTCCGAAGTCGTCTGCTATAGTAGCTGTCTTGATTCCCAGCATCTGACAGTGGACTTGATACATTCTCAAACATTTCGCTGGCATCGTAGTCGGCAT